CCCCGAGAGGCGGGGTCTTCAGTTTGCACAGGGAGTCCAAACTGCTTTTGTTGCCGCTGTATTCTCAGATGGAGGATGTCGTCTTTGTCCACTTTTAAGAGTTGATAAATCAGACGAAACTTATTTACAGAGTACTATACTTTCGTACTTGTGGTGTTTATGACTGTGTTTTTTTTAAGGCTTTTAAAATTTATTCATACCCAAAATAATTGTCCTGTTTTCAAACTGTATTTTAAGAAACATTTTTCATGTCGTTTTTTCAGCCTCCTACACTCAGTCAAGACACGTTGGAAGTAAATTTAAGCTCTACAGGGGGCACAGGTGAGTGATACTCCTCAGAGTTTTCTTTGGTATTTTATGCTACAGTAGTGCTTGATGTTTTAAGGATCATAGTTTATTGTATTCATATATATATTTATTGTTTATGTGATGAAATAGAGAGCTTGAATAATACAAAAACAAACAAAAAAATTGCCAAAAGTTTGCACCTTAAAATTAATTCATTTGGAAAATACATTAAAGTGAAGTAAAATATAGTAAAAGAAGAGCCTGGGATGCTGGAAACCTAAGTCATGACTGAACCAGATGGATGAATGAATGAAAATAGAACAGAATAAACAGTTTTTCCTCCATGTCCTCATTTTGGTTCTGATTAGAATTTGCAAATTTATGAATTTTTGCTGTTTTTAGATTTAGATTTTATTTCCATCGTGTTAAAATAAATGAAAAATATTTCTAAGAAAACAAAACAGGAATAACCAGCAAACATATGTAGCAAGCTCTCGATAAAGCACGTAATTATTTCATGTCCAAAAAAGGAGGAAAAAGTAGATCCTACCCCTGTTATTTTTTTAGAGGGAATGTCTGCAAAACTGTTGTGTTACATTAAACTATATGTTCTTGCAGCGATGGTGCACCACTGCTGTATGATTTTTTTTTTTTTAACAGGACTGTGAAGGTGCTTGCAAGTATTTAGTGGTGAAGGGTTTTTAAATTATTCTTTATTTTAAAGGAGCAGTGTGTAGGATTTAGTGGCACCTAGTGGTGAAATTGCAGATTCCATTCAGCTGAAACTTCTCCCATGTGCCAAGCGTCAACTCCTTAGGATTTCTTCAGTTTTCATTGTTCAGGAGGTTTTACCAGGAGCTGAATTATCTGAATTATGGGCGTCTCTTCCTCTCCAAAATGGACCTGGTGATTTAAAGTGGTAAAAACACTAAATAAATCAGTTTCATGTTACAAATCTCCCACACTGTTTAGCATATCGGAGACAGGCCACTAGTCCAGCACTTGCTAATTTGTGCACACTTTTTTTCTTCAATAACTTAAGATCCAGACGTTCAGGAGGTTTTTACCAGAAGCCAAATTTTCTGCAGAGGTCTCTTCCTCTCCAAAACAAACAGACCAGGTGATTTAAATAGATATAAATATATAAATATTATATTCCGGCAGCACGGTGGTGCAGTGGTTAGCATTGTCGTCTCACAGCAAGAGGGTTGCTGCTGCTGTGGTGCAACCCTTCGTGGAGTTTGCATATTCTTTGTGTGTCAGTGTGCGTTTTCTCTGGGTACTCCAGCTTCCTCCCACAGTCCAAAGACATGCAGGTTAATTGGTGACTCTAAATTGCCCGTAGGTGTGAATGGTTGTCTGTCTCTATGTGTCAGCCCTATGATAGTCTGGTGACCTGTCCAGGGTGTACCCTGCAGCTCACCCAATGTCAGCTGGGATAGGCTCCATCTCCCCCCACGACCCCTGACAGGATAAGAGCTTACCGAAAATGAATGAATGAATCAATATTATATTCCATTTCATCTAATATATCTCCCTAAATCGTACACACTGAACCCTAAGCCTTAGTTGTATGTATGTTACTGTACTTTCAGAGTAAGGTTAACATGAAACTCCTGCTCTTGCTGATGGAAAAATCAAGAGTTCATCCATGTTGGGTCGGGGTTGGTGGACTAAGAGTTCATCCCCATCATCAGTGATCTGGGTCAGTGGGGGAGGAGGAGTCCAGCAGCTGTTACACACTGCTTGTGTGGGTGCACATGGATATACATGTGTAGTATGCGCATGCATGTCTGTGTGTGTGTGTGTTTGTGTCACTAGATGTCAGTCAGTCTCTTAACTGGTCATGTCATTAATCTTACCCCGTCTGCCTTTGTGTGCATGTGCCGGATTGTTTTAGTGCATTTTCATTTCCATAACAGCATGAGCAGATGTTTTACTGTGTCCATGTGTGTGTGGCAGTGTACATGCTTATAATATGCATAGGCATGTTCTAGCTGTGCACCTCAGCTGTATTAACATCACACTCTGTGGCTGTGTGTGTCCTGTGTGTGTTTGTGTGTATATCTGACTGTGTGTCACTGGTATTTAGTTAAATGTAGCTTAATGGTCCCATCAGCAGACAGCTCATTGAGCTTTAGACGTCATTTCAAAGTCATGTCTCTGCAGTGGCTTTCAAATATCTTAAATCTGTTGTGTAGTGTTAGACAAAACAGTTAACACAAGATTACTTATTTAAACAGTTCATACAAAGCTGTAAACATGTGCAGAAGTTTATGTAGTCTGTAGCCACGCTGGCAGTTCACAACCTGAATTTTGAACTAGGTTCACAGTCTCCAAAATGACCTAGTTTTGTGCTCATTTTAAAAAAATAAAATGTAGTCTTGTGATCATCATTCACTCACAGGTATTTCCCATGATTGTTGAGATGCTTGAACTTGATGTGTTTCAGTTTTGTTGCCAATGTGGCTGAGACTGTGACTTGTTTTTTTCAGACCCAGCTGCTACAATTTGCATATAATATGAAATTTGTTTCCACTGGAATTTATAACTTACTGATTTTTATAAACGTCCTTTAAATATTAATATAAACTAGCCTTAGCGGTAGTGGGAGCTGCTTTGTGTGCCGCATAGATTTACAAAGAGACCTGGATACAGCATTGGAGGTAGGGCCATATTTATCCTGTGAAAGTTGCTCAGGGGCCCATGAAGCCAAAAAAGTACGGCTTTCTGGGTATGACATTACCTGGATCTTGTGTATCACTGAAGCCAAAGAGTAAGAGACTTTGCCAGCTGAGCAGCTAACTTCCGGTTCAGCCCTTGGTTATCAGACTGAATCAAGTCCTGATAGTGAAACAAGTCATTTGGCAGGGGTTATGACACTAGACGAAAAAAAACAACAATTTCTAGATGTCTCTTTTCCAATGTAAGTTGATGGGAAAAAGTCTTTTTGGGCCATGTGGCTTCATGTGTCAAACCTGGAAATTGTAGTTACACAGTTTGGCCACTATGTCAAATTGGTTTTATCGTCAGGCACACATCCAGGGGGCCTGGTCTGCTGGTGTTTTGCTTTGGTGGTGTAAAACAAGGATCGTTAACTGTTGCAAGAGTGAACGGCACTTACATTCATGTTTATGAGTTGCAAACTGACGCCATCAGTTCATAGTTCTCCAAAAATATGAGCAGATTTGATGAGCGCGTTCCTGTACAACACTTAACGATGGTGACTGTTCACTACACATCAAATGAAATGTTTTTGGGTGTTGTATTCTTAGATCTTTGCCAGAAGTGGGGCAGAAAAAAACATTTTGCTCACCGAACTTTCTCTTTTAAACTCACTAAAAGTTTTTTTTTAAAGATTTAATCTATATGTGTAATGTGAGTTCTGTTTGTAATATTTTATTAGTTGAATATATCGGTGTCATTTACCCTGGGGACGTCGGGGAAATGTCCCCACTAGTTTTGGAAATGGCTGATTTTGTCTTGAGATTCTTTTCTTCTTGGTACCAATTCCGATACCTTAACTTGTCTGTTGGCCAGTACCAAATACCAATCCAATACCATTGCATAAAAAAAGACAATAATAACAGCTGTATACTGCTCACCCTATATGGATGTGAAATGTTTGCTATTTTAACATCTAGTTGGGCATTTTGGCAGCGGCTGACCTTATACTTTTTGCCAGAAATCAATTAATCTTTACCGCGATAAAACTGTAGTTGCAAGACGATGCCCAGTGCTCCTTGCTGTAAAGGAATCTGCTTTAGGGCGGCGAAAAATTGGTTTCTGGAATAACTGCAGTTTTATCTGGGTGTGAAACTACTTTGAAGTTAATCAGGAAATTACATGGTATCCAATCCGTGCCAAAACTTCTGTACTAGCCAGTCCTGGATCCAGCATTTAAGGCAGTATTGGAGGTGTTTTCAAAGGCTTATACCCTTTCCTAACTACACTGATAAAGAACGAAAAGTGAGAGCAGGTTTTTAAACTGACAGTAACTTATAGACTGTTGGATTTTCAATATGGGGCACATTGATGGGCTGATGTTGCAGCAGTGTGTGTGTGTGTGTGTGTGTGAGTGTACATGTGAGACATGCATGTGAGGCGAAGAGAGTCCACTAGGTGTCTCAGTGTGTTAATATTATAATCTTGTGTTAGTCAAGTGCATTTTCCTCCACAAATCGCAACTCCCTTCTGATACAACTGCAACCATCCCACCAGGACTCTATATTTCTTGTCCTCTATTCTTCCTGACAACTGTCTGTCTCCATTTGCTCCCATTTTCCTCTTCTTATCCCCCCCCCCCCCCCCCCCCCCCGACAGATGACTTCAGTTCATTCTAAAAACAGACACACAGAGAAAGATTAAACAAAAAAGTACAGAGGTGAGACAAAGAGAGAGACGAATGGAGTAATAGCAGGTGAGAGAAAGACTGATGAGGGGGGAAACGGGGAGAGAAACACAACTAGAAAGAAAAGCAGGACTAGAAAGACAGTAGGTCAAAGAGTGTTAGAGAAAAGATAAGGACAAGAGAGGGAGATTGTGTTAATGTGTGTGTGTGTGTGTGTGTGTGTGTGTGTGTGAGAGAGAGAGAGAGAGAGAGAGAGAGAGAGGGAGAGTGGGAGGGATGGAGAGAGAAAAGGAGGGATGGAGGGAGGAGGGGTTTAATCCTGCCTGGATTATGGTATAAACTGGTCCCGGAGAGCAGGAAGGGATACGCTGGAGAGAGAGGAAGTCCCACTGTCCCTCCCTCCATCCATCCATCCATCCATCACTCAATCCATCTTACTCGTAGCGTGTACGTGTCCCAGTGCTGCATGCTTTCGGTTTGGATCCACTGAGATGTGAGGTCAGCAGGAAGGAATCATTCAGGAAAGGATGGCAAAAAAACCCCTGCTTTTTGGGAGCATGTGTCCTGCTTGGGGAAACCTCGCCGCCTGATAAGAAGGACTGAACTGAAGACAGAAGTTTACCAGGACCACCCCAACTCTTACATCCCTCTCCTGTTTGTTCCCGGCACCCTGTAGATCCAAGTGAGGGAGCATGGAGGAGAGAAGCGGATGATGGGAGCAGTAGAAACAGGATTAAGGGGTGTAGAGAGTGAGGTGTAGGAAGATGGCGAGACTCCGTTGTGACTCCTGGTGTGCAGAAGTGACCTTTGACACCGGAGACAAGAGCTATCTAGACTCTATTGTGTGCCGGGGTAACCAGCTGAGCTGACATCAAATCATCAGTTAGACTCTTTTTATTTGTTCTCCTCCATATTTGAACTTTCTTTCCAGAGCCGCATGTCTCAAAGGGAATGGTTTAAAAGCTCTGACCACATGGCATAGTGAGTAATCTTCAGGACCGTAGTGATTTGGGGAAGTATTTTAATCTTCCTGCAACCCAGCTTCTTTGAAATTAGCATGCTGCGTTTCTGGACAGTCCACGGGATTGTTTCAATCTTTTGGCTCACAGGACAAGAAGCTCTCAAGTCTTTCCACTCAAGGACTGTCAGGATCATTCTTAGAAGCCAAATTGAGTCTTAAATCTTTGACATGCTTCCTCTGTTGTTTTCTGGATCCTTTTCTTTTCCTGAGTGGGCCTTGGACCGTGATGGCTTCTCCGCATGTCACTATGGATTCTTGTGTATTTTAGACTGCTCAGTTGCAACATCTGCCTCTCTTCAAGTCTCTGGAAAGTCTCAAGATTTGAACTATGCATGAATGTCTTTGAGAGGACAGTGGATCGGATAGGATCTTTACAGTTTTGTAACGATTACTTTACCAGGCAAGTTGACAGAAAGTGTTATTCTTTTTGCCTCTTAAGTTGTGGATTGGGTCCTAAGTTTGTTAAAATTTCCCTGTAATTTCAAAATTAGTCAGTGTCCTTGTGGTAGAAAAATGATACCCAAATCAAGTTGACAAACCCACAGAGAATCATCACCCACCTCTGCAGCTCTGCTCACCTCTAATGACCTTTTTAGCCTCTTTAAGCCCAAGTTTGGTTTTACACCTCACAGCTTCACTGCTGTGCTTCACTTTCACCACTCTCATAGTATTTTTTTTACCCTGAGCATACTGTTCATATTTAATACAGTCACATAACAAATGTCTTAACCACAGATCTATTTAGAATGTAAAAATGCATATCTGACGTTAATTAATGACTGATAAATTAAATTAATTAATGTTTCAGAGAGCAGAGAGAGCACATACTAGGCTTTAGATCACTCGTTTAAGTTTTAAGATTCAAGAACTTTATTTTTATTATGCAGGCATAATGAAATTGCAAAGTTGTCATCCTCAAACCGAGCATACTATTGAAAAGAAAACCCTTATACATATTTACATATAGAATAAGACACATATGTAAGCAATACTAGATATTCCAGTTAAAATCTAACCAGCATAAGTACAAAATATAAGCAATATTAAGTATCAAAATATGTATAAAAGCATGAGTGTGCAAACATCAGCAGCAGTAAAACTCAGTAATGCAGTTTGACAGATGTGGAGTGATGCCAGTGGATTGATATAAAGTGAATATTGCACATGCACAATGGAGAAAAAACATCTTTTATGACACAATATCATGTTGTATTATACCTAAGACATGAAAACTGAAAACAACAACAGCATTTTGGAACTGTGGGATTTCTTTTTTAGGTATTTACAATCATCAGACACTGCAGTTACTGCTACTGTATGCGATAAAAAAAATCCTCAAAACTACTATCTAATTTTTCTAATTTGTTTTAAAGTCCTTAAGTCACTGAAATGACAGCTCAGGTACCTTTATAGTCTTATGACCCCCTCACTCCTTGTTTTGCTTTCTGTTGGTTTGCAGGGAATGGTGGGCATGAATTTGATTATCTTAACGTCATCTTGTAACATTGCAGGTGCAGATCTCATGTTCCTTATGTGCACCATTATCATGCCTATCTCACTGTTTCAAGATTCCCCCATGACCCTTAAAAGACCAACAGGTGCTTGTTGGAGGGTCATCTGGGCAAATGTGGTGGGAATGCAGGCAGTTCTTGTGACAGTATCATGGTCCTCCTTGAACTTTGACACTATTGTGCCATGAAAAAATATACACAGACATAGCATGTACAGTTTCAAGGTTACCTAAATGCACCATTTCCTTGATTTGACCCAAACTAGTGGATCTAAAATCCATTTCAAAATATAAATATAGCATGTTTTAGGTCACTTTAGGGAATCGTTATGAAATCTCAGGCTAAAATAATGGCATTTCGGGTATTTCTTCTGATATTAAATGTCAAAACAGTTTGACCTAAAATCTCAAAGAACACACTATATATTACCGACCCAGGACCAAACATTGTACCTCTTTTTGTCCTTGCACTTTGACCTGAGCACTTCTAATCTCACTTTATGCTGTCCTGATTTCATCCTTGTCTCTCGGAGCCAGGGCGCTACAATTCCTGGGCTGATGCAGATCGCGGCAGCTGCAGGGATGAACCACTGGAGCTGGGAAAACGCTGGGAATGCCAGTAAATCGGAGAGAAGTGGGCCACACAGGGGGAAGCTGATGATGCTGCTGTGGATTATCCTCTCCAGCTCGCTGTGCCTGATGGTCGATGGCCAGATGAAGCTCTCACCAGAAACGTGAGTACAGTTGCAGTGGAAAACTCTGACTCGAGGGACTGAACCATGTGGAGGTGCTGTCTGAGGCAGATCAAGTTCTGTTGTCAGTGTAAAAGCTATAAAAACAGAGCACACACATGGAAATTCAATTTGCTTTTTTGCTTTTTCACTCCATAAAACTTTGTTAATTCATACAAATATTTAATCTTGTAGATCTCTCCAAGGATCCTGACTTGACTGACTTGACTTGTCCAACCTTTTTAAAGACGTTTTTATCAACCATCTGATTGGATGCTCTTATTGTATGCACTTGTGTACTCTGACTGCACCCTCAACGAGACACAGTGTGCTGCCATTAACCGGAAAATACAAGTCAGATGACCACAAACTTGGTGCTTTATTAAGACATTACATCAACACTTGTACCAGGTTATTTGCCCGTGGAGACCCTGGCAACTCTACATGCACGTTGTGCTTTTTGAAGCCACACGTGAGATGAATGAGTCAATAGTGTTCTTCCTATTCTGGCAGATGACTCCACACACATACATATGGGCCATATGGGCACCTGTGGGGCGGAGGTGTAGCTAAATGCCAAACTATCCTACAGCCACTCTACGACTACAGCCACATGCTGAAGATGACGTATAAATTTGGCTGTACATAGATTTGCAAAGATATTAATAGCAAAACAATAATGTAAAAGAATAGATTTTGTTTACTTTTTATTATGTATTTTTCTATTCAAGACTAATGTGCACTTTGCCACTGTAAATTGAGACTTTTAGACGACAGTATCACACCTATACTTGTTAAACATCGGGATGCTGATATTGTCATTATGAGCATGTTAGCATTCCAACGTTAGCATTTAGCTCAGCTTGTGTGCTTTGTACAAACACAGCAAGTTACTATTGTACGAACATTACACATGTTGTAATGGAAAAGCCTGTGTTTCAGCAAGCTAACTAAGCTAACTGCTGGCACCTACCTGTCCAACTCAGCATCACTCTTCGTCCCCATGCTGTCCGTCCATGCTCGCCAGCAAACGTAATAGCAAACCCAAGATTCACTCTTGTTTCGGAATGAACTTTGTCCACTTTGTGTTTTGCCTTGCTATATTTGCTTTGTTTTTTCCGCTGCTGTGTACTCAATTTTTGTAGCTTCCTCTTTGATACATGTTGCTGACAATCTGGCACCTGGTCGCTACCTTTTTAGAAAGTCCCGACCTCACCTGTGCACTGTGCCCAGGAACATCCAAGGCACGACAAAATAAGAGTAAAATAAGAAAATACAGGCAGAGGGAAGTTTCTCTGCAAATTACACCTGCATAATAAACCTTTAAGGAACCCCTCACAGCATGGTTACAGACTATGCCATGGTTATATGTCAATTGATCCAATGTACAGTCAAAGCTTCCGTAATAAGACAATATATAAAATTGTACTACTTTCTTTTTTTTCCCACATAGATCTTTATTAGCAAAAGATTTGAAACAACAAACAATGACAGCAACAGAAAACTTTCTCGGCAATTCATCCACAGTTTTTCCATCATTCCAGTCCTGTTGATTTGGATTAAAACCTCCCTTCTATGTCCTTTATATGAACTGTAATATCAGCTGCTAAAACCATATATTTTAAAATGTTCATGTTCTACCTGAGATAAGTGGAAACACTGTGAAAAAGAGTCAAAAAATCACTGCTATTCAGAAATTATTCACTCAACATTTTCTGAATACAAAGATAGCTTATGTGTTTTATTTCCACACCAGTGTTCACTTTGTGAGAAAGGTGCTCAGTTTCTCTCTCACTTTTTCTTTTTGGAATGAAATGCTGTGTTTGTTTGTTCTCCAGAAGCCAGGCAAAGCTCTTTTTCCCTGAACAGTTTTCAAACCTCCTGCTGACTAAAAACACTAACAAATCGATATAGTGCTGTCAGTCCACAATAGCCTATTAACTCTGTGTGTGTGTGTGTGTGTGTGTGTGTGTGTGTGTGTGTGTGTGTGAAGGTGGAGGGAGTTGAAAGGGACAGAGAAACACAGACAAATACACAACATTTTATTTTTTGCACTGACTTGATGCTGTAAAAAATTTGTATTTGCGTGTCTGTGTCAGTGGGCATACACTGTGATAGGTTTGTCAGTCCAATTTTATTTCATCAGATTTATCAATCAGAACCATAGAAGCAATGGTTGATTGTGCATTTTTGGTATATATTTTGTTCATGGGTGAATCTTGTACCTCAGCATCTCAGAGACTTTGTGCTGTCACTCTGCAGGCTGGTGTGACGAGAGAGATTAAAGCTCCAGGGCAAGCAGAGTTCAGCAGGCCAACACAGGTCACTGAGCCCAAAGTGCTTCACTCTGCCTGGGGAAGATTTGGCAGCAGGGCCCCTCTGGCTCTGGAAGTTAGCGGGCCATGACCTGAGCAGTTAAGGCCAGGAAGGTCAAATCTCTAGCCTCTGAGGGAACATTGCTCTTCTGCCAGGAAGAAAACAGATAACTGACACAAGACATCTACTGCAATGACACATTTAAAGGGACAGCTCACCCCCATATCAAAAATACATATTTTCCCTCTTACCTGTAAGTGCTAGATTTTTTTGATGTGAGTTGCAGAGTGTTGGAGATATTGCCTGTAGAGATTTCTGCCTTCTGGAACTAGGTGACACTCGGTCTCATCACTAAAGTGTATGTCATGCAAGACAGCTAATTAAAACAAATTAACTGGTCAGAGTTGTCATATTAACATTCAACCTCCACCTTAAAAGTTACTGGGAGCTGCTGGCGGCAGCCTTTGAATGGCACATTGAATTAAATCATTTTTTCTCAGATTAGCAAACTGTTAACAAAAGACAAACAGGCAGCAAAACTTCATTTTGTTTTATAGTTATAGGTGACTAATATATATAAACGTTCCACTGTAGGAACAGTTACATAATTTTCGAAACGAGCCACATCTTAACAGTTCACATGAACGCATGCACATGGGTCATATGTGCGCTGCAGTACTTAAAGGCGCTGTATGTGAGAATGTGGCCAAAACGGTTACTGCACTCAAATTCAAAATACTGCCGCGAGTCATGTTCGCCCCTACAGATTCGAGGTTGCTGGACAGCGTCATGCTGGAGACTGATTTGTTTGCCCACGGGCGGCTGCCGTGGCAGGGCCGCGTTGCTGCGTCCTTGATCTTCAGTTTTCCAGCGGACCGTTTGAGCAAGTCCGGTTTCTCTGCTGCTAACGCTGCTGCCAGGATACAGCTGAGGAGGAGTCGGCTGCTAATGCTATGTACCAGGACACTGCTAATGCTGCTTGCCATGCTGCTGTAGCTCAGTCGTAACTTTAACTGATGCTGAGAATCTACTGACTGTGTGACTGGTAGACAGCGGTGGGTGGCGCAACAGGCCAAAACACAAATTCAAAACATAAACATGATTTGCGGACTGTAAAAATGTTTTTTAAATTGGAATATTCTGGCTGTACTATTGTTGTCGGTGAGATCAGTATGTTATATGAACATTATTCCTTAGTCTCTGTGACATATTAGGAGGATTTTACGACTAATTGCTTTAGATTTCTTACATATAGCTCCTTTACATAAATAGCATTACACTCCTGGCATCAACGCATAGGAGGAAGTGTGCATCTACTCATGGACGAGAGGCTCCTGCTCATGACTGAGCGAGATGTAAAATTTTAATGGCATCCTCCTTGTTTGAGCTGTTAGCCATTAGCTAGCATAGTAATGCAAGATGAGCTAGACGTAGATGCATGCTTTCTTCTGAGCGATGATACAGTTAAGTGTAGTTCAGTAGAACGAAACACTTACCTGTAGTGCTGTTTATCAGTCTAGATTGTTTTGGTGTGAGTTGCCGAGTGTTGGAGATATCAGCTGTAAAGATGTCTGCCTTCTCTTAAATATCATGGAACTAGATGGCACTTGGCTTGTGGTATTCAAAGCACCAGAAAGCAACAGCAATGCCTCTTTCCAGAAATCATGACCCAGTTACTCAATATAATCCACAGACCTTGTTGTGAGCATTTTCATATAGGAACGATTTTCTTTCTACCAAACTACACCCGCCAACCGTATCACCACGTAGAGGGAGGCATGCATGTACTGCTACCTCACAGGCTGTTCTCATGCACTGTATGCATATATACTTACAAAACATAATGCACCACAATTCATGTATATTCCATGAAATCAGGAAGGCTGCCATCACATGACCAATGCACAGGAGTAAAGAAGGAAGCAATCTGTGTAAAGATGCAGTTTTGGGGAGGTGGATGGAACAAACATAGGACTTGCCTCTAGGAGACTGGTTTGTGGTACAGTGCAAAACCAAATGAATTCTGTGTTGTTTGAAGGCATGTCATCATCACGTCACGTCACAAGCACGACCCCCTCGTCCATGAGTGGATGCACACTTCCCTCTGTGTGGTTATACAGTTGGCAAGTGCAGTTTGGTAGAAAGACAATAGTTCCTACATGAACCTGCTCACAACAAGTTTGTGGATCAAGTAATCAAGTCATGATTTCCGGAGGGAGACATTGCTGTTTTTTGGCCCTTGAGCACCACAACCTGAGTGCCATCTTGTTCCATTATACTCAAGAGAAGACAGACATCTCTATGGCTGACATCTCAAACACTTGAGCGCTCACACCATAACAATCTAGATTGATAAACAATACTACAGGTAAGAGGAAAATATGTATTTTTGATTTTGGGGTGAAAGGTGCCTTTAAGCAATAACTGAAGAGAAGGGCTTTGTAAGCAGGTCCTGCTTTTTGCCCTTTTCAGGCACCATAGACAGCTACATACTGTGTTGTATTTGGTCCATATTTCACCCAAGTTTGGCTGTAACTCTATCTTGATCTGACGTTGCTTGCCCTGTACAGCAGTAGCCCACAGCAACATTGCTTTTGAGCAGCACACAGTCTTTGAGGCACCACAGGAAGTGCAAAACAAATGTTTCAACAAGGTACATATCCATCGAATAAACTAAATTCCTTATTTATCTGTCAGAACATTTTCTTGATACTACCTCAAAATAGTGACAGTTAACTGACTCATTTCAAGGCAGCAGTCCAGAGAGCCTCTGATATCCCTGATCAAAACACAGATAATATTTACAGCACAACACTCCTACCTAGCACCTCTATGTTCTCAGTCCTCACATTTTAGAATGAACCCACACTCATATTTCAGAATAAACATATCAACAAGTCAAGAAATTATCAGCCAGTTTTTCAGTGTCGAGGCAGGCAGGCAGGCTTGATGTGACAACCCTGCCTGCTAACTAGCAGCGAGCTGGCTGACTCCCCATAGGTTGAGCCATCTGTCACATCCTGTCTACTCTCTAACCTCTATTACCTTTCCTTGGCTGCTTTCACATGAAGGATTTGTCGAGTTACTGCATGTTTTTGAGCACAGTGTGTCCCCTTGACCTGGCGGACTGTCAGCTTTTACTGTCACCTTAACAGTAATCTGTTTTAATCTGTTATTGGTGAATGCAGGGTAACCTCTTAACATGATTGGCTGCGTACTGTCATGGTCACCTTCAATACAGATGGTCTTATTAGGCCTTATGTTTTCAGGCAAGATACAAGTGAAATCATTTGGACAGGGGGATTTAGAAACAGGCCTTATCTTCCCTCTCAAATAAGTTTTTGGGCATTTCTCAAAGCGCTGCGTTCCTCTTGAGGGAAGTCACGTGCTTTACTTTCCTGCTTCAGGCAGTCAAATAATGATTTCGGTTCCACAGTTGATTTAGATCCAAAACAAAGTGAATTATTGTTAATGGAGTCGATTGGGAATTTTACCTCAGAGTGCATATATTCAGTTTCCTGCAATGCATTTTAACAATCTTTTGAATTAGACAGTAACTTGTGTCATATGGAAAGGCAACAAAGCTCTACCAGTCTGTAATGAACATGTTTATTTGCCAACATGACAGTAATTTGATTGATACCACCTTCTAATAAGCAGCTTTTACAAAGGGTTGAAGTAATGGTTTTGTAATGATTTACAAATCATGTAGTAACGCTTTACTATCACTATCACTGCTAAGCAACAATAATCTTGTGGGTTGCCATGATGTACAAAATCCCTAGACTGTATGGCTGCTTTCCGTCCATTCAAGGGCTGCATGTGTTAGTGTGCTTTACAAATAAACCTGCCTTGTCTTTTTATTATTGCATTGTTTTAATAAACATGATTTGAACAGCTTTGATTATATGTCACTGACTATGTTTTCTCCATGTACAGGGTGCAGAAGTGGGCTGTGTCATTTGGCAAAGAGATAGCTGCCCTGTCTGCCAGATACTCTGGAGCTAAACTGCTACAGAAGGTAAGAAATCACACACAAATACACACACATATTTATTCACTTTTAGTCACAAGAATGTAATGATCATCAAATGTATGATTCAGTGCTAAAACTTGAGGCAGAGTTGATGCAGTTTCATATGAATTCACATGAACAGCTGCAGACACACATAAATATGTACTCAAACAGAGGTGTAAATATAGACAGTGCAGGCAGGACTGGGACCCCTGGGTTGGAGGGGATCGTAGAGAGAGCAGGTCCTCGCAGTGATTCTGCGTTCAAAGAGGAATGATAAAAAAAATAAAAATATTAGTTTAAAAACTGTGCCATTTGCTACATCTGTCCTCAAAGGGCAAACCCATCTTCAACATGGTTTCCTTTTTTGTTTTTCAAATAGTCAGAAGCTACCTTAAACAAAATTATACACTTTTTCTATATAAGCTATAAAATCCATAGATATACTATAAAAACTATTTATTCAAATGATTCATTTTGTATTTCACTGATATTTTTTTGTGAGATAAGCAATAATGATTGCTGTGTAATATGTATGTTGATGTTGTCTAGTGTGCATCGGGGCCCGTTGTAACTTCCTTACGCCACTGCACACAAACTTTAAATTTTTCTGAGGCATCTTAGTTGAGGTGAATTAAGTTGCACTACTATACACTGTGTTTCAGTAATTTCCCATTTCAGATCAGATTTCAAATCAGTGATGTTTAGGGGCATGTGGTGGCTGTGGAGGAGATTTAATCCCTCTGACTGATTATCCCTAACATACAGTATATGGCCACACCAGAGAAGGTGTAGAGGAGGTCAACATTCCAGTCTCAGAATATCACCAGCTATCTAAACTAACACAATACAGTTGGATCTCACAATGATTGTTGATCAGAGTGATTTTCCATTGTTTCAAATGTGTTTATTGTGAAGCATCTTTTTTCTTTTCAAAGATAAGAAAACATGGTATTGATATGCTTCTTTTCTATATAAAAGAAACATAATGTCAACAGACATAGGGAGAGCCTACCTATTCATACAATCTATGGGAAGAATCCACTTAATAAGTAACTAAATAAAATGAAATAAAATAAAATAAAATAAAATCAATTTAAATTAAATTAAATTAAATAAGTACATAAATAGAATTAAATATATTGGAAAAACAATTATTCTAACAATGAAAATACATTAAAAAAAATAACAATAATAATATTATATAATTAAAATAGAAATAACAATAATTATGATAGTGATAACAATAATGATATGCTGCTAATATATGGATAAAAATCACCTGCAAAAAATTCTTGCTGACATATCAAGCAGTAATTTTCTCATCATTTCCGCTGCCTAGATGAATAATTTGTTGAGTGAAATCTGAAACACAAACTTAAATGCAGAGACATTAATTCATTTCTTGGTAACTGAGACAGTTGGCTGTACAACACATGACATCATCACATCAGACTGAGACGGGCGGGGTCGGTATCTCCTCCCCCTCTTCTCGGCTCCTTCAGCCAATAGGAGCACGACTGACTGGCACACATTTGCTGTACAACATCTGCACATGGCCCAAAGACCAATGTGATGACACACTTATTTCCAAAGCACACTCACACAATGCACTCACACACATATTCACACATTTTAGGCGTTGACCGTTAAAACCATTTCTGAGCTTTACCAACACGTACAGTACAATGACGTGCTGATGCGCTGAAGCCCATTGAGCTGAGTTAAATTCAACTGTTCATTACCAGAGAGACTCAAGCTGAGGTTATGCTTGTGTGTGTGTCTTTTAGTAATTAGGGTGTGCGGTCTTCCTCTGCATGCCACCCCGTAGAATCCCTAGCAGGCCCGTTCACCATCTGCCACACACACAAACACACACAAACTGTGTTTACAGAGACATGCAACTACTGACCAACTCCCTCTACAGCATGCATGTATCTTTATTTTTGTTTCACCACACATTTCTTCTGTTGTATACCACAAAACATCCACAAATCTAAGTGCACAAATAACAAACCTCCACAGATTTCTTCCAAAACAAACACAGCAGTAGTCATTTGTTGTTTGTGCCTGTATTTTAGATGGATTAACCTCAGATAACCTCGATGCTTCGTTGGTAGAAACAGTTTTCCAGAATAAGAACCATGCACACCACGGAAACAGCAATAACAGCAATGGTATTGTAGTATGAGCTGACATCGTAGTACTGTAGCACAAATACCAGTTGCTGTTGTATCATTAACAGCAGTATTTATATATAATGTGGGTGTAAGTCTCCAAGTTGCTCACCTTCTCCTTTAATTTAGTCAGTGATGTGTAAAAAGCGCCCGGTGCATTAGTTAAATCTTGGCAACAAGAAGCCATTAATCACCCACCTCTGTCTAATCGATGGCTTTCTTGCTATCTGTGGAACATTTAGTGACTTTGTCTTCTTGCCTGAGTAAACTAAAATGGATATTGAGTGTGTGAGTTTATGTTTGAAGATAATGCAGAAATTGCTGAAGCTTTACTTTTGTTGGAAAGTTTTTTTTTATAGTTAATAGAGCTCTTTATCATCCTTTCATTCATTCATATCTGTTTGTCTGACTAATCTGACTAATTCAGCCTGGCCGTTTCTCCCTCGTAATGGAAATTGACAAGAATCATCTGTGAAAGTCGAAATAGAGTCTTAATTTGAATGACAAATTGGGTGTGTAATTCTTTTCCCCCAGTCTTCTAAGTTGTCAGAATTTATTCAATAGGCTGCCACAACTTGTAACTGACTTGCTAAAGGGCCTTTCCCCACATGTTAGGGAGTGTGGGAACTGGGTATTTCCATCCCCAAATCAAAAATGCTTATTTATAAGCCTCCGCACAGGTGATAGTCGTGGATGCAGACATTATGCTTTCGGGTTGTCCATCCATCCATCCCAATCTTGTGGACCTGATATCTCAAGAAAACCATGAGGGATTTTCTTTAAATTTGGCACAAACATCCACTTGGACTCAGTGATGAACTCATTAGAATTTGGTGGTCAACGATCAAGGTTACTGTGAACTTGTGTCCATCTCATTCTTGTAAATACAATATATCAAGAAGGCCTTGAGGGAATTTCTTTAAATTTGGCACAAACATCCACTTGGACTCAGTGATGAACTCATTAGAATTTGATGGTCAAAGATCAAGGTTACTGTGACCTTGCATCCATCTCATTCTTGTAAACGTGATATTTCAAGAAGGCCTTGAGGGAATTTCTTTAAATTTGGCACAAACGTCCGCTTGGACTCAATGATGAACTCATTAGAATTTGGTGTTCAAAGATCAAGGTTGCTGTGACCTTGTGTCCATCTCATTCTTGTAATTTATAAACCATATTTCAAGAAAGCCTTGGGGGAATTTCCTCAAATTTGGCAGAAATGGAGGCTCAAGGATGAACTGATAAGAATTTGATGGTCAAAGTTTAAAGGTCACTGTGACCACACAAAACAGGTTTTTGGTTAAAACTCAAGAATTTACAATTATTAATAACATTTCTAAAGGGCTAAAATGATGAAGTGATGACATTGACTCAGAAACAGAAAGGGAGATTTGGTTCAGCACTGTATTCATAACACTAATCTTGAGTGTCCATCTTGAATCTGTGCTGATTGTATAGACCTTCTATGCTGCCAGGTTAAAGATGTGTGAAGCATCCACGATTTAGTACATGTAGCTTGTTCGCAGTGACATCCATACTGGAAGCATTCTCAACTGTCATGAATGCACATGGATGCAAACTGTAACGGCAACTTGACTGGTTTGCAGAGACGTAAAACCACAAGGTGGTAATTCTAGCTCCTCTTACTTGTAGTGCTGTTTATCAGTTTCGATTGTTTTGGTGTGCGTTGTCAAGAATTAGAGATATCAGCTGTCTCAAATATAATGGAAGTAGATGGCACTCGGCTTGTGGTGTTTAAAGCGCCAGAAAAAATCGGTGACCTTGTCACTCAAGATAATCACAGACCTTGTTGTGAGCTGTTTCATGTTGGAACTACTTTCTTTCTACTGGACTACACCCGCAAACTGTATCACCGCACAGAAGGAAGCGTGCATCTACTCATGGACAAGACGCTCGTGGTTATGACTTTATGAGATGTAAATATTAACGGAGTCCTCCTCATTTGAGCTGTAAAGTTAAGTAGCTTAGTATGTTGCTATGTGAGCTAGCAGTAGATGAAAGCTTCCTTCTGCACAGTGATATGGTTGGTAAGTGTATTTATGTAGAAAGAAAATAATTCCTACATAAATCTGCTCACAACGAGGTCTGCGGATTATCTAAAATACCAGGGTCATAATTTCTTTTTGGCACTTTGAGCACCACAAGCTGAGTCCCATTTAGTTTCATTATATTCAAGAGAAGGCAGACATCTCAGCAACTCACACCATCTGTCTACACTGATAAACAACACTACAGATAAGAGGGAAAATTATGTATAATTGAGTTTGGATGATCTGTCCCTTTAACAAGCCCCTTTTCTGATGAATTTTAATAACCAGTATCACATTGTTAAGGAAGGCTAATTACCTTACTGAAGGTAAAAGGAAATGAGTACATCACAAAAACAAACATTTACTGGAAATCTGTCATCACAACTGATGCTTTTATTACCAGTGGCAGAAATTAACCTTTCAGTCCACAAACAACAGCGGCACAGGATCTCCTAAATTACATTTATGGAGCTGCTTTAATTTAATAGTGCAGCGAATAAACCCAGCAGCCACCAGCAGCCAGAGAAATACATCACAAAGTGCACAGATGTCAGTCAGGAGGCACAGAGAGCAGTAGATGGTTTTTCTTACAGCATCACTCTGTTATATTGCAGATTAGAGAGGGGGTCTGGGGAGGGGATGAAGTCAGGGCTTGACCCCCGTCTGTAGTGCAAACTGTAAATGCTATGTGTGTGCGTGTGAATACTGTAATACCAGGATCTCTTCTCCATTATGTGTATTTTCCATTGTGAATGTGAACAAGACATTACCTAACTTCTAAATCCAAAGATACAGCATCAGGCGTCATATCATGTCATAATCCTTACTAGCTGTCCTTTGTTTTATCGACTGAAGGAGCTCACGTGACACTCTGTAAAAAACTGTCGCTAATGAGCCAACTGTGTCTGTTTTAAAGAAATACAAGGATGTCGAGGGCGTGGTGAAGATAGAGGAGGTGGACGGAGCGGAGCTTGTCAAAAAGTTTGCTGAGGAGATGGAGGAGATGCTTGGGAGGAAGATGAAATCTGTGAAGGTAATATTATGATACATTCTGTTACAGCAAACACAAACTTAATGCTAACCAGTTTGACACGAGCTTTTCTGTAGTCATGACCTTGTTTAAACAATAATCAGATGAAAAATTGTTGCAGGTTTAGTGTTTTCTTTCGTGGGCAGAGTGTGACCTTAACCTGCTGTATTTTTTATCACAGAGGTTAGCAGAAGCGGCAGAGGATGCTGACCTTTACCACGAGTACAATGAAACACTGCAGGTATGTGACAAGATGCTTTAATACAAGGACAGTAATCCCTGTGAATCCCTGGCTACAGAAATACAATGCATCCTTTAGCACCTGAAAGAGCTGCATAGGGCTTTCAACCAACTGCAGTGTAAATGTCATGACCCTGTGTTTTTGTTCATATTCTGTTATCTTGTGGACTTTGTTGGATATTTTTCTGTTTGTGTTCCTTGTTTCATGTTAACCATTCATGTTTGATCTGTTTCCTGTTTTATTTTGTAGATTCTCTCCTCATGTGTCATGCCTGGTCTTACTTCCTGTTTTCCCTGCCTGTTTTCTGTCACACCTGTCTCGTTGGTCCTTCCTTGTTCCCAGAATCTTCCCTTCACACCTGTTCTGTATTAGTCCTGTTTGCTCCAACCTAGTGTTTGCAACCACACCCTTGTTGGAAGCCAATCCCCAAAGACTGTGTTGTTCTTGTGATTAGTTTTCTGTGTATATATACCTGTGTATTTCCCTTTGGTCCTTGTCGGTTTGTCTGCGTTCATTCCTGTGCTCATCCCTGTGTTATTGGTGTGGTTCCCTGCCCTGTTTCCTGCCTGGTGTCTTGTGTTCTGTTTGGATTTTTTAACCTGAGTTCATCGTATTATCCTGGTTGGTTTTCACTTAATTTGGTTCTTCTGTCATTTGGACTTTCTGTTACCTTCCTGTTCTGGATGTTTTTCATCTGCTTTATTAACCTCAAACCTGCCTTCCGCTCTGCATTTGGGTCCTCCCTGAACTGATTTATGACAGTAAACCCATCTGCTTATAAAATATAGATGTAAAGCACACCAAAAATTATAATGAGGTGATAATCACTGGCAACAGACTTGATTGAAGAAAGCAAGTGTTGCACACTCTGGCTCCATATGCTTGTTTTAAATCTTGATTACGTTTCAGCCTTCAAGATCAACAAGCATACCAAATATACTCATCTGTGTCATCTTAAGATGTTTAGAGCAACAGACGCAGTATAAAGAGTGCAAATGTCTGTTTAGAGGAGGTGGGAGGGAAAATGAATCAGTCCAACAAGCACAAGACTTTGACCCAGGAGACCAGTGTTTCTGTCCCGTGTGAAACTAAAAGTCAGTGTTTATTACAATTATTTTGTTGCATCATTTGTTAGTCATATGAGTCCTTGGTCAGTCCTTAGTCAGTCATTATTATTCAGTAACAAGAGTCATGTGAGTCAACTGACATGACTAACATGAACCACAATGTTTTCCTAACCCTAACCAAGTAGTTTTGTTGCCTAAACCTAACCCCCTGCATCAAGATACGACAATGAGGGGTCTCCTGGCACCATTAAAATGCGTCAAAATATGACTAGCAGTAATCTCAACAGCGTGATCTCATCGATCACGTTGTTGAGATTAAAGTCATACATTTTTCAAGAAAATTTCTGTATGAAGAGCAAAAGTCCATGCAAGGGAAAAAGTCGTGTTAGATGAATGGGTCGAGCACAGTGCTTTCACCCCAGAGATGGGGGTTGGGGTTTTTGTCCCATGTGAGTCAATGGCTGATTATTTTCAGACTTAAAGGCGCTGTATGTAAGAATGTGGCCAAAACGGTTACTGCACTCAAATTCAAAATACTGCCGCGAGCCGTGTCCGCCCCCCCTCCCCTACAGATTCGAGGTTGCTGGACAGCAGCACGCTGGAGACTGATTTGTTTGCCCACGGGCGGCTGCAGTAGCAGGGCCGCATTGCAGCGTCCTTGATCTTCGGTTTTCCAGCGGACCGTTCAAGCAAGTCCAGCTTCTCTGCTGCTAACGCTGCTGCCGGGATACAGCTGAGGAGAAGCCGGCTGCCAATGCTATGTACCGGGACACTGCTAATGCTGCTTGCTGTGCTGCTGTAGCTCAGTCGTAACTGTAACTGATGCTGAGACTCTACTGACTGCGTGACTGGTAGACAGCGGTGGGTGGCGCAACAGGCCAAAACACAAATTCAAAATATAAACATGATTTGCGGACTGTAAAAATGTTTTTTAAATGCGAATATTCTGGCCGTACTATTGTTGTCTGTGAGGTCAGTATGTTATATGAACATTATTCCTTAGTCTCTGTGACATATTAGAATGATTTTACGAGTATTTGCTTTAGATTTCTTACATATAGCTCCTTTAACTGTCTTATTATTTTCAGGTTTTAGAATATATAAAGCTGCTGAATGAAAACTGTGTATACACAAACTTTAGCAGAATAGCTGAACAGGCCAGTTTGTGTTTTGTCATATTTTGACGTTGCTACGATGCAGAGGAAAAACATCCAGTTAACCAGGTAATGTCCTGGATGTTGGCATAACTTCCATTATGAGGCTGTTTCTGAACCATAACAGGATGTCCTGATTGGACGTTCAAATAACGGTCATTCAGTGTCTCAATGTTATTCATCCGTCATCCTCTACTGTTCTGTCTAGTTTGAATACTATAACTCCCTGCTGATCAACACGTTGGATGAGGATGGGAATCCAGTGTCGCTGGGAGGAGAATTCGCTCTGGAGAAAAATGAACACTTCAATAGACTGCCAGTCAACACCCAACAGAGCAACATACAAGTTCCCACTAATGTTTACAACAGAGGTACAAAAGCGTGGACACACACATTCACACTGTACATCCATGATTGCTGGTAGAATATCAATTTAATTCTTTGTCTTTCTTTCTATAGATCCAGATATTCTTAATGGAGTCTACATGTCTGAGGCTCTGAATGACGTGTTCATTGACAACTTCCAGAAAGATCCGACCCTTACTTGGCAGTACTTTGGCAGCGCTACAGGCTTCTTCAGGCTCTACCCAGGTGCCTACACACCCTACAATTAGGACGTCCTGCATGCTTGCAAAGTATCTTCAGTTGCACATTTCTCCTGTGTCGGCACATAACAGAGCTGTAGACAAACATTCAGCTAAACAAGCCAAACGGTACACTTACCCAGCAACTGACGATGCAGGAAGCTGTCTGTCAAACGTGATGACTCAGTCTCAGCTTCAATATGGCTGCTGGTGAATTCACTCCTGTGTGTATCCATGTGTGTGTGTGTGTGTGTGTGTGTGTGTGTGTGTGTGAGTAATTAGCAGAGGATTTGTGACACAGCTTGTTTTACTCATCCGCGACCTCATCCATCTCTCCCTCATTTGACAATCTGTCACTATCCATCCATGCATCCATTTGTTCATCCGTCCAACCAACCAGGCAGCTGGGCAGCAGTCCTGAGCTCCTGCGTTTGTTAAATCTCTCTATCGTTCTCTCTGTCTACAGGGATCCAGTGGACTCCAGATGAAAATGGTGTGGTCACCTATGACTGCAGAAACAGAAACTGGTAAGGCCATGCTCCTATCAACATCAGTTCTACTCCCTTATAGATGCCTTTTGAGTGGTCGTAGCTCTCAGTATTGTTTGTAGGTGGACAATAGTGTCTCTCAGCACAGCCTGAAGCCCCCAAATCCCAGGTTTGGGCCATTGCACTCCAATCCAGCAGTCGTTGGGTGCCAGTAGTAACTATGGCTGACCATCACTTGTTTTTTTCAGTGTCTGGCACCAGTCTGCCCATGTCCGTGACTGAATGCCCAACTGAGCATGTTGAATCAGCTGCAGAGGCAGTCAGTCTCTCTGATTAGTTGTTCAGCCTCCTGAATCAGTGTCTTTACCCATTAAGTGCAGTTTATCCTTATTTTTGCCTCCAAGTGCTAAGTGTTTAAGTTGTGTGAAGTTATGTGGTTCAACACAAAAGCATTTTATTAGTCAGCCTTTGTCTTGACCTTTACCAGTAGATGAAAGGGGCAGTTCACCCCGCAATCAAAAATGCATATTTTTCCTCTCACCTGAAGAGCTATTTATCAGTCTAGATTGTTTTTGCGTGAGTTGCAGAGTGTTGGTGATATTGGCCGTCGAGATGTCTGCCTTTTCCTGAATATAATGGAACTAAATGGCACTTGGCTTGTGGTGCTCAAGCACCAAACATTACGTTGGAAAAATTCAACAGCAATTTCTTTCCAGAAATCATGATACATTACTCGAGATAATCCACAGAACTTGTTGTGAACATTTTCACTCAGTAAGGACTACTTTCTTTCAACCAAACCACACCTGCCAACCATATCACCGGTTTGTAGCTCAGTAGAAAGAAAAAGGTTCCTACATGAAACAGCTCACAACCATGTCTGTGGATTATCTTGAGTAACCAGAGTCTTTTTGTCATATGGACTCAAATGTCCTCAAATCAGGTCCGGAGGTCCCGGACATTGTCCAGAATGTCTCTTTCTCACTTGAAGCACACAGCAGCAGACACTGTTTGTGTCAGAAGCATTGTCAACCACTGGAAATACTCAGTGTGGTTTAGGGTAGGGGTAGTGCCTGGGTTGAGCTTGCAGGACATGATGAGGATTATGCTGCAGCCATGTAGACGGTTTGTAATTTGGTCATAAACAACCAAATCTTTTCCATTTCCTTGAATTTATTCAACAATTTCGACTTTAGCCCTTGCCAATAGAAGTTCCCGCATCTCGTCATCTCTCCAGCTAGACATTTTCACTGCCATCGTCATGTAAATTACCCTTCTTTTTCACCCTCAGATGTTTTATCTCAGTTTCATGCAAGCTGCATTAAAGAAACGCCATCAACAGGCCCACTCAATTGTAGTGAATTCTCAGGACGAGTACCTGGTCCATTCAGACATGGGCTCCATCAGGCATTACACAGACTTTGTACTAAGGAGTTGGCAGGGTAAAGTCTGTTTAGTGTCTGATCTAATTGATTCAGACATTTGAGTTCTCTCAAACAGATCCTCTGGGTAATGTCTTTATAATTTCTGGTTTGCATTTCATGTGTGAAAGAGGTTCGGGTCATGATTTCTGGAAGGAGACATTGCTATTGAGTTTTCTGAGTATATTTTTTGACGCTTTGAGCACCACATGCTGAGTGCCATCTAGTTACATTATATTGGAGAGGGGGCAAACATCTCCACGGCCAATATCTGTAACACTCTGCAACTTACAGGAAAACAATCTAGGCTGATAAATAGCACTACAGGTAAGAAGAAAACTACGTACTTTTGATTTTAGGGTGAACTGTCCCTTTAAACCCACACTATTGTTTAAGAGAAGATAGTGAATAGAGAGAAAAAACAAAGGTTTGACAGAGGCACATTGCCTTTGGTCTGTTTAGAGGCAGGCAACTCTGTAGCAGCACAGTTGGTCATATGGAGTAACAGGTGGGTGAGTCAGTGCTCTCATCAGTTGTGGCCAACAAATCAGTTCTTCTTATCAACACAGAGTAGCTCTCTAACCCCTGTTACCTTAGTGCACAGCTGTGGGTGCTGTCTGTGTCAAAGACAGCTGTTTATACAGCACTGGCACAAGACTAATGCCAGTTTGACTTGTCAGAGTAAAGGCACAGGTGTTACTAATGACATTTTCAATGGCTCTGTTAGATTCAAGTGTCCCAATAAACCATTACAGTGTGACAGTGTGGCAGCCTGTTCAATACCAGGACCCTGAAACCCATTGTTAATTTCATTATTTACACCTGTGCTTTCTCTGTGACATGTCAAAATGTCATCCCTGTAAAAGGTCTCTCAGGTACAATAACAGTTGAATAGCTGTTTAATGACAGCAATTCCAGGAACTGTGTCTGGTCCTCAAACAGGACATACTGTTTCCTGGAAGGTTGCACATCTCGGCTGCCGTAGGGGAAATCTCATTCATGCTAATGAGCTTGGAAAATCAAGGGATGATGATAAGGAGATGAAGAGACGCATGGATGGAAGAACTGAGGGACAAATAAAAGGATAAGGCTTAAACTCTGTCCGTTCTGTCTGTTAGGCAGGTAAATAACAAAGTCTCCGCTCATGCCAGAGTGTTGTTTGGTTAATGCTGTTGTTCTGGGCAGTATAGAAGGGTTATCAGCATGATGTCAGAGCAGATAATTATGACTGGTCGAGAAAAAAAATAGGGCATCAAAAGGGCATAGACGAGGCTACTGCCATGGGCGTAGGTTTGATTTCAACATTGGGAGGGCACATATGAAGCCGGGAGTCTGGGCGTCCTCTCGCAGAAATGTTTTGATGTCAAACACTTCATTTCCTGCATTCTGGTGACTTTTTATACACCAATGTCTTTATTTATGTCAGACATGTCCAAAGTCTGGCCCGGGGGCCAACTGTGGCCCACAGACCAATTTTAATTGGCCCTCGGCTTGACTTTCAAAATATACCATATGTGGCCCTTTACACAATAACAGTTAATCGAGCAAGATCACTTCGCATTTTTACCCCACCTCACAATGATAGGACTATCATACAGTTTGTAGACAGGCATCAAGTAGTAATAAATCATTAAAAGATAAAAAAGGTTGAATTTGTCTCACTTTTTTTTAAACCCATTTGATGAGAGAATCAGTTGGCCCCCAGATATTTTCACATTATTTTAAATGGCCCCCATTCAAAAAAGTCTGGACACCCCTGATTTATGTCCAAGAAAACACAAAATCCTGGTGGCAGGTGAACCTTTTGCATCTGTCAGAGGCCTTCTGTCTTGTGGCGGTGGGACACAGCTGCGACAAGACAGATGAACGGGGTGCGCAGAATCATTTCATAACTCAGATAACTACGTTCACCGGGTCAGATAGTAATATTCAGGTGCATGATGAAGAAGAGGAGGAGGATGTGGACTGCGCTCAGTCGACTGCCGCTTCATGCCGCTACGGTACCAAATGTAAGACAAGGAGGGAGTGATGACAGGCAGATAGGTAACTCCAGTGGAGAGAGGCAAAGGAGGAAATGTGTCTTTTTTATTTTGTCACATATTGCAAATTTTCGCAATGACTAGAACAGTAAAACGCACTGAAATCAGTGTGCAAGGTTTCTGTGTGAAAGGATTTTTTTCAGATGACGGATTTAAAAAATGCATCCAAAAAAAATGGACTCAGTGTGCAAAAGCCTTTAATCTTTTGTCCTCCTTAAGTTGGAGAAATTACCTCTTTAAACGTGCAAGTGGCACCTATTCATGTCAATGACGCATTCATTCATTTTATTTAATTTATAATTGGGCTTTATCATCCCATATGTGCTGTCATGTTACAATGTATCCTCATACAGTGGTTCGTATAATATCTAACAAATTAACGCCCCACAAATGGCATTGTCATGTTATGAACATAGTGTAAAGTTATATAAGTTAAGTTTAGGAAAAAGAGACATGGTGATGATGTGCCTTGCAATAACTCAAAGTTCACTTGGTGTCACACGGAACACAAACACCGGTCTCCTGGGGGAAAGTCCTGTGTTATTAGCCTTCAAATAGACCCATCTGCCAGACATTATTCCAACTGGAGCATGCCTTCAAGTCCTCACATTTCTTGCTTAAGGATTCCACCGTAGCACAAAGCACCTTGACATTAACTTGGAGGCTAGTTAGCTGGTCATCATGCTTGTTAGCTGAGCATTCCAGGTTTGAAATAGTCCCATCTTGTGCAGCAACTTGTTCCTCTAGGGGTCTTAAAGCTGTTGTCTCTTTTTTCTTTACAGTGTCTGATATTATAGACTCAAACTTCGGTCCATAAGTTGTCCATTGTGTCCTTTTTTTTTTTTTTTTTAAGATTATTTTTTTGGGCTTTTTTTGCCTTTAATATACAGGACAGTGTGAAATGGAGAAACAGAGAGAGTGGGGGGGACGACATGCAGCAAAGGGTTGCAAGCCGGAGTCGAACTCGCGACCGCTGCGGTGAGGCATCACCTCTATACATGGGGTGCCGGCACTATCCACTAAGCTACCGATGCCCTGTCCATTGTGTCCTTAATGCAGCGTAGCATACAGTAGCTTTGTTAGCATCCGACTTGACACAGCCTACCACTGCTAGACTTGACAGTTTTTTTGGCAGTTTTTTCCTCTAAAACTTGCCATTTTTCAGACAAATGGCCCCAAAGAATGGAATGTTGTGGTGCAGACATGTCCTCAGCATCCCTGGTGTAAATGACACCTGTGGTTATAATAAAGATAAAGTCATCACTGCTTCCTACCTCAACTCTTGTCTCTTGTCTCTTGTCAACTTTGTCTTTCTAGGTATATCCAGGCAGCCACTTCACCTAAAGATGTGGTTATCGTGGTGGATGTCAGTGGCAGTATGAAGGGACTCAGAATGACCATAGCCAAACACACCATCAATACAATCCTAGACACGCTGGGAGAAAATGACTTTGTTAACATCATAGCTGTAAGTACACACACACATGATTACACACAACACAGACACACATGAGCAGTCTAAGTCCTGCCTAGTGTGCCGTTGAGATTAACACAGACGAGCTAACACACAGGTACAGCTCAGAGACCAAGGGGAAAATACACAGAAACAGTCACACGCATGCGGACAGGCACAAATACACACATCAAACATTCAGTTCCCACAAGGCTTTTCACTCTTCAGTAACATCAAAGCTTAAAAATTCATTTTGTTTTGGGGTTTTTCAGGATTTTGGCTGCGTGTAGCCCTGCAACCACAAATCGGTGTAATAAGCATGGTTTATCCTGGTATTACTGTGTGTGTAATCATACGCCTCTTGCAAATCCGCTGCCCTTAAGCTGTTTTTACGCAGAATTTAAAGCTACACTCCTTCCGATGAAGTGACCACACTGCAAAATCAGTGCTAGAATGAGGTATCCTCAATCGGTAAAAGGGTTTAAATCCCACTTCCTTGTAAGTAATAACATCATGTAAACTGACTTGACTATTACCAGTGGGCATTTTCACATTTCATCAGTTGATGAAATACAGCGCTCAAAATTTTAACTGTCATATATGCAGTAGTTTCTCTGATAGAGAATCAGTGCAGCGATCTCTCTTTAAAAGTGTAGAGCTATTATGATATTAACGGACTGATTGAGTGATTGATTTGAGGGTAGTAAAATACCAATTACTCTTAATTACCACCTGTTACAAAAGATAATCATGTTGACTGCTGATCATGCGGATCACTGATTATATTCAGCTACATATTTGCTTTCTCTCTTCAGTACAGTGACTATGTTAGCTACGTGGAGCCCTGCTTCAAGGGCACGCTGGTACAAGCTGATCTGGATAACAGAGAGGTAACACACACACACACACACACACAGAAGACACAGACAAGCTAGACGGCTAATTATTCACTTAACCTCTGCTAACCTATTAATCATATGCTGTTATCTCACTAATCCTCTGAAGACATTATGCTGTCATCACATCACAGTTAAAACATCACATAACAGTGAATGTGTGTTATCAGGATTCAACCTGTCTGTTGGAGGATTTAGTGATGAAACTTGAAGTTCATGTTCATGTGTGGTAAAAGCGCTCCACTTGTGTTTTAGATATTTCTTCCTCTCTCTTCCACTTCAGTCTTTGTCGTCTCTCTCCATCCCCTCTTCTTCATCTCCTTCTCAAAGCCACGGCATTTTTCTTCTCTTCCACTTTATATCTCTCATCTCACTCTCTTTTTTGAGTTTACATTTACAATACCATCAACTCCTTATCATCCAGATTTCCTTCTTTTTCATCTGATCATCTTTTTCCACATTCTGTAAAGACCATGTTTACATGCACAAAATATTCTTTTTTTTGCGCTGATTCTAATAAAGACAATATTCCTAGTAAACTGTTCACATGATTAATGAAAATGAATATTCTACTTACATTCCTGTTTACATACAGCTATACATACTCAGATTAATGAGCCCTGACATGTCATTTATCACAAATATGTAAAACAAAAAAGTTGGAGCTGCTTGTTCCGAGTTTTCCACGGGTGGTGGACTTTTTTTGACCATGCGAACACAGCCTCGTTCTTTCATTCTTTCATCCACTCTCTTGAAAAAGTCGGCATTGTAATATTTGCTTATATCCAAAAACCTGCTGATATCCAAGTCTTTAATAATGTCTAAAAGAAGGTTTGTTTCTTCTTCGGACTAGAAATGTGGGCTTTTCTCTTGGGCATGCATCTCTACTCAGTGTTGCAAACTGTTGGCTAGTTGATTTTTGTATAATGTGTCCTTGACAGTGCACAGAGATGACCATAAACAGGCAAGAGGCCGCTTGTCGCAAACTGTTAGAAACCCCAATTAATGCACTACATGTCTAAAGAATGCTCCTAAAACCAGACTAATACCAGCATTACCCACGTGGCTTAATCGGAAAATGCTTCATTTAGAAAAAGCCCTATCCAAAGGGAATATGCTGTCAACATGACTCGTTCCAAATTCAGAATATTGTCATACTCTGAATAATGATGGAATATGAGTGTGCATGTAAACATTGTAAATGAGTTAAATATTCAAACCCTAGACTTTTTTATGTCTGCACCACTCCATCAAATGGAAATATGCTCGATGTCCTGTGCAGAATTTTTCATACATTTTCAAAAAAACATTATGTGTTATTCATATACAAATTAAGCCCGACATATTAGGTATCTTTGAAAACTTTGGGTTCGCTACATAAAACAAAGTTCTGTCAGTTTCACCAATGTTTGGCTGCATGGCATGCGTTTGGGGTTTAAGGGGTTAATATTGTTTCCCTGCTGCTTTCTTTTATTTTCTTCCCTTCATCTGTTCTGCTGTTCTTCATATACCAACACCTGCTCAGTCTGCCTGTGTGTGTGTTTGTGTGTTATGTGTTGGATGTGTGCCCTACTTTCACTCCCCTTCACATCATCGCAGATCAGGTGAGGTCGCTGGCCGCTGACAATTTTTAAGTAGGTCACATGACCTGTCAGCAAGGGATTTGATTGGTTTAATGCCCAGAGAGGCAGGCTGTCACAGAATGGGCTTACAGATGTTGGCTGACATACTTACGCATAAAGTCATGTTGGAACACAAACACATTTCCAGAAAGAAAATCCTCAGTTTTGTGGCTCTTATATAAGATTTCCTACCTTCTCAGAAGGCTATTTACATCATTTACTCCCACTGTTACTCAGAATGAGTTTTCCCAAACTTTAAGAAACCAGTGTGTATTTCTTTAAATCAGTTTTGTCAAACATTGGGCAGCTGGCTCACTGACCAGGGGTACTCAAGTTTTAAGAAGAGGTACACCAGGCCCCCCCAAAGAGTCCAAATGGTAGCTGTAGGTTCCCAGATTCTCTATGATTTTTAGGTCATGATTAAAATCTACATATTTAGATACCGACATTTAAATTCTAAATCACCATTTGAATGCTGCACAGCTTTTTTTTCCATTTGGGTTCTTTGTGCATGTCTATTCATTCTGTTTAAACCTGGTATTTCACAGTTGCAGATAAAGATAAGGCCAAACTGATGTTATAAGTATTATACTATTTGTAAAATTAGATTCCGGTGGTGGCTGAGTAATTGTTTCTGACTCATGTGATCCAAATTAGTGATGCGCAGGTCAGGGTTTCTTAATTCTCGCACCCGCCCAACCAATCTGCGCCACCCAAACCTGACCCAACCCATAAACTGCCAACTTTATGCATTATATAGCACATTTATCAGGCTTGAGGACTGAGACAAGGACTGAGACTGTGTGTTTGAGAGAGAGAGAGTGCAGTGTTGTCAAGATACTGGAATTTTTAACTTTGATACAATACCCTGAAAAAATATCAGTATACAGTACTTGACATTGACAGCGTAAAATTAAATTTTTTATGAAAAGATAAATATAACAAGGCATAACAATGACTACTTATCTTTTCTTGGTTAGTAGCAGAAAACAGCAGAATGACTGTAGTAAACATTAAAAATAAGAGAGCACCAGAAAGTGCAGCTGGTACTGGTGTAACGATACTGTGGAAAAGGAGTAATAAAACTGTTTCAAATATTCAGAATTGATATATAGTTATTGTTAAATCGACAGCTTTTAAAGAGAGTGACAGAGAGAAGAGAGGAGAACGTGGAAGGTGGACTATTGCAAGCAATGTTTCTGTACGTTATTATTGATTTACTCAGAACACTGCTTTGTATCCTGCTCTACCCACTAAGCCTACGCTACTCACTGAGCCAACGGGCACCCCCTGCTTTGTATCTTTTTGGCCCGCTTGTCTGAACTCGTGACATTTACCAGTAAGATTACCTAAACCTAGCCCAACCCCTGGGTCAGGGGTAGGCAACCTGTGGCTCTGGAGCCACATGTGGCTCTTTAGCCCCTGTCCAGTGGCTCCTTGAGCCTTTGAGAAAAGAATTCTATGGAAATTCATTCTATGAATCCAAATGTTGCTGAACCTCGATAACAGTGGCTGGTTAGCTATGGATGCCAAATCCAAAAAAGTAAATTGAATAAAATAGAGAATGTAGTAGTGCGTGGACAGATTTGTTTGTTCTCACTGCCAGCTCTGCAAAATTTAAGTACCAAATAATCATAAATAGTGCCCTGCACAGTGTCCACCTTGTGGTAAAACATATTAACAAATGCTTATTTAGACCGTAAGTATACGCTAATTTAGACTTAATAGGCTATTTACCTTGATGATAAGGCTCAAACATGTTTTGCGGCTCCACACAGATGTTTTCAAATTATTCTTGGTCAAAAATGGCTCTTTTAATGGCAAAGGTTGCAGACCCCTGCCCTGGGTTAACCAACGTTACACACACCTGTGTTAACTGGGCAGTCTAGCAGCATTGTAACAGCACCATTGATTACATTTGTTCATTAAAGAAAGTTGATTTAATAAAAGAGACTAACTCAATTAAACAGATGAATCACTTTATACAAACTGACGATTTTTATTTGGGATAGCGGAGGGGATGATAATGTCATAAAATATGATGACAGGCATGCAAAGCTTGATTTGGAAACCTAAAAGCTTTTTTTAAAAAAACATTTTTATGCATATTTAAGCAATTTATCCCATGGTTATTGCAATGTGCAATAATAAAAGAACATGCTCAGCAGGTGTCAGTTTAATTTTTTTGTACAATACACAGTAATAAGTAGATATATTTTGTCAGAAGCCCCATGAAGACTATCTATGGTCTGCACGGTGGTGAAACCTACAACAATGTGGCCATTCATCATACTGTGTGCGGGTGTGTCTGTGTGTGTTCGTGTTGATTAATCCTGATTACCTCCCGGTGTTGTAGTGACTTTGCTGTAATTGGTCAGTGTGCCAGGGAGCCGGGGATCATCCCTCCTCTACACTCTTTTACTCACTCCCTCATGCTCTCTCCCTCTGTCCTCCTGTGGTGTCCTGCATTCACCAGCATTTACCAACAGGATAACATGCGCAACTTACTGATGATGTCTTTTTGGTTATTTGTTGTTTGTCTCTCTCCAGCATTTCAAGCTTTTGGTTGAAGAGCTTCATGTCAAAGGCGAGGGCAAAGTGAATAAGGCCATGAAAGAATCTTTCAAGATTCTCAACGAGGTTTGTGCCTCTCTGTAACAACCACAGCAACAGCTAGGTCACAATCCACAGGTCTCCATCAGCTGATTTCTTTGGTAGAAATATCCAAGATCAAGTATATTGTGTGTGGGTGTGTGTGTGTGTGTGGGTGTGTATGTGTATGTGTATGTGTGTGTGTTTAGGCTACAGCGTTGGGCCAGGGCAGCCTGTGTAACCAGGCCATCATGCTGATAACAGACGGAGCCATGGAGGACTTCCAGGATGTTTTTGAAGAGTTCAACTGGCCAGAACGACGGGTATGACACACAAATACACACACAAGCATAAACAACCACATGCACCAGTGAAGTGTACTGTAAGCACACAAACATGAATCATTCACAGTGTTTATTTAAAAGAACAGTGTGTAAGATTTAGTGAGATTTATCTAGCAGTAAGGATTGAAGGTTGCAACCAGCTGAAACTTCTCTAGGTAAGAATTCCTTCTGTGTTCTTTGTTCAGGAGGTTTTTAGCAGGAGCAAAAGTACCTGCAGGAGGAGGTCTCTTCTTCTCCAAAACACATGGAATCAGTAATTTCAACTGGTAAAAAACACTGGATAAAGCACTTAAACGTGTTTCTCTGATGCTGTTCAGCATGCCGGAGCACCTGCAAATGTATGCTTCCATTTTTTTCTCTGATATTTTAAGATTGGATGTTAAGGAGGTTTTAACTGGGTGTCAGATCATTCACAGATGTCTCCTCATCTCCAAAACAAACAGACCTGGTGATTAACTGGTAAAAACACAGAATAAAGCAATTTCACATTTTTAAAAATGTCGTGGCTTTCCAACACTCTCATCACAGAGGGGCTGCTAAGTACTATGGCTGACACGAAAACACAAATGGTTTGTCCATTCTGGGCAACCTAGTCTCGCTCCAAAGTTGTTGAAATCCAGGGCTTGGGCAGTGACTTGCGGCGTCAGACACTGAAGAAAAAGCTGTCCTTAAACGTCAGCATGACGAGGCTGGTCACCATTGTGGTTTAATTGCGCTAGGCGGCATCATGGGGAAACATGGCGGTACATGAACGAAAGATGACAAAAGTCCTAGTAGGGTGGGTGGGAGGGGTAGTGAATGGGTCCAACAAACACTGACCTTCGCCAGGGAGACCAGTGTTTTTGCATCCCATAAAACTATAAAGCCAAACCCTGTTCTTTTTTCCTAAACCCAGCCAGGTGCGTTAGTTTTTGAAGGCAAAAAACCCATCAATTTGCAGTATTTTACTGACGTAGTGCATTTATTTTGAAAGAGACTGCATGTAAACAGTAAATTTCCTGTGAAAAAGGAAGTGTATTTTGATGACCATGACCAAATATCAATATGTGACGAGGTCGGAGGAAAGATTTGTTGTTCTGGGCTTCTATAGAAACATAGTGGTGAACGTGGCATTCTGCATCGAGGACCTGCTCCCTATGTAGATCTAAACAGCTCATTCTGAGGTGATTATACACTAAAGAAAATATACTTACTATTTTATATTCCATTTCTGCCAGTATATCTCCCTAAATCCTACACACTGGACCTTTAAAGCTGTTTGGAGTGACAAATGAGTGGGGTTTATCACATCACACTATATACTTTATTTTCTCCCCAGGTGCGAGTGTTCACCTATCTGATTGGACGAGAGATGACATTTGCTGAAAATGTAAAATGGATTGCTTGCAACAACAAGGGTAAGATGGGGAAGAATCAGTTGCCTAAATGTCGTATAAAGTACTTTGTGACATAAAACTTGCTAGATTGAATCCCTCGTTCTGCCACAAAATTCGGGATGAGAAGTTTGGGTAACTTCAGCAACAAGAAATAGAGAATTTGATGTAAAAACTACTGCAATTATTAAGTTTTAAACAAAACAGGGCATAAAAGGAGGTGTGCTGGCCCTTTGTAGTGTTCCCAGGTGGTGCTGCATGGGACTGTATCAGGTGCTGCCCTCTTGTGAATTACATGGGGTCATGCAGCAGCTCAGCCCTGAAAATAATCACTTTATCCTGCTCTGTGCACACCAAAAATCCATGACTAAATACCTGATTATCATCACAGATCATCACACTGTAAACACATCCCTGGCCAAAAAATATCATATCTGCGTGTGTGTCTCTGTGTGTAATAGGTAACAGGTGCACTCCCTTCTGTTACGTACACTGACAGTTGCTTCTGCCAGCAACAAAATATCAGTCATAAATAGACGAAAATGCTTAATGTTACACTGCTGCAAAAACCTATACAGGTTCAGTTTTAGTTGAGCAAGCAGCTCTACTTAATAACATTCACAGCAGCACTCCTCAGGAGACATTACAAAGGGGAAAAGGGTTGCACACATTCACATATTCATATCTGGCAGTGCTTCAGTAGCCTGTTGTCACTGAGCAGCTTCACTGCAGGTATCCCATTGACGTCATCGTCTCCCACTTGTAGAAATGCCATAAACCTTAGACTAAGCCAAGCTGATAAAAAAAGAAGCCAAAAACACATTTCCACTGATGAGAGATTCAAGCTGTTTTTTTTTCATTGAAAACAGCTTAGTGTTTTTTGGGAATACGTGGTATTTGAAGTCGGATAAGTGAAATTGCTGCTTAAATGTAATACCCAAAGGCCAGAAGCAGAAAGATAAAAATAATACGGTGAACATTTTCTTTGCTAAAATTTATGGGTCCTGGGTTTTTTATATATATATATATATATGTATAAAGTGTGTGTACATATATTTGTATGTCCTGCAGGTTACTACACACACGTCTCCACACTGGCCGACGTTCAGGAAAACGTTATGGAGTACCTCCATGTTCTCAGCCGGCCAATGGTCATTAACCACGATCACGACATCATCTGGACTGAGGCGTATATGGACAGTGTGGTCAGTCTGCTTCTCCCATTATTAGTGTGCTTGCTGGGAAACACACACTGTTATCTTTCATCAGTATTATCTGGCGTAATGATCCATCATTCAGTGCAACAGAAATAAACATTCAACTGCAATCTCTATATCTCTCTCTATAAAAACATTTAACACTTTACAGTACCATGTTGCCTCAAGGGTACAAGGTGTACCCTGCCTCTCGCCCAATGTCAGCTGGGACAGGCTCCAGCCCACCCAAAACCCCCAAAGGGATAAGCAGTTACAGAAAATGAATTAATGAATGACTTTAAAATAGAGCCAGAGCCCTAAAGAACTAGTAGCACTGTTTATACTTTCATATGACTTTCTGGAGGCCATACTGAGTCCCTTCTTGTGGGCCTTTCTTACATGGTTTACCTCCATCAACTCTAAAAGAAAATGGTCTGAAAACATATTTTTCTGTCATTTTACAATCTGGAAAAAATAGATTCACCATATTAAAGGGGTAAAAGTTATTTTTTTATTGCTTAATGTACTTTACTTAATAATTAAGTAACAGAAAATTGTTAAAATGCAAATCGTACCCTTGTGTAATCCCACCTGGATAGTTTTAGGTATTGTGTATCTAGGTTTATATTCTGTTCAAATGTCTAACAGTCATCCTAATATTCTTTTTATCTCTACAAATTAACCTTGATAAGTTTATTAATTATAGTTTCAATAAAGTTCACGCTATGACACTGTATAGTCTACTACAACGGTGCACTTTGTGAGTCCTCTATGCAGAGCATACTGTATGCTTATATTTTACACACAGTTTTCTTCCATTAATAGAATAAATGCAATATTGTTCTGTGACTCTTCAAAGAAGAGGAGGGTAAAATTAACTCTCCCAGGTGATGTTAGTGAGGACGAATCAGAATTTAGTAGTTTGGTAACAAGCTGACAGCAACCCTGCAGCTCCACAATAAATGGTGGTGACATAAGTATCAGGAAAGACACACACCAGGACACTGAAAACAGGCTTTTAAATGTAAAACCATTAATCAAACACTGAACTATAACTCATATCTGGAATATTTTCTCCACTTTACCTTATACACTAACTAATGGAGACAGTGGTAGACCAGCAACTCCAGTGTTCCGTGAAGTAAAATGACTGTAGCCTATTTGTAAAAGGAGTCTGGTGAGATAGCAGCTTCAGTTCCCCGCTGGAAAAGGCTGTCTGACGGCAAGGTGAAACAGTGAAAATATTCTTAATGTAGTGTTGCACAGTATACCGGTACTAAAATAGTACCGCGGTACTAGAGTATTCCAAACGGTACTATACTGCATTTGGAAAAGACCGGTACTTTTTAAATTGATTCAGTTCATTAATTTATTTAATTCATTTATGCACACAAACGCCTTCCTTGTTCCTACTGGAGCACAGATTGCACAAGTGGTGTGTATGACAACACCTGTATCAACATTCGCAGCTGGCACATGTGAAAAAAGGCAAGAGAAAGTCTGCCGCGCAAAGGGAGACAACACAAGACAACACCAACTTGGTGAAACATTTGAGCAACCAAACCATGACGTCCGTACCGAGGTACTTACCGAACCGTGATTTTTTTTGGTACCGTTAAACCCTTACTATTTATTGTTCTAAAGGTTTGTATCCAAAAGGACTTTTCTTTAGGAAGAAGTACCGAAAAGTATTGAAATTCATATTGGTATCGGTACCGAAACAAAGATTTTGGTATCATGACAGCACTATCTTAATGTAGCGTACACTTAAACTGATAATGCCTTTTTTCCGCGGCCTTTTTTAGGTAGCTAAAAAACTAACCAACTGAGGCAGCTTTTGCTCAGTGTGAGTTTCTACCTGTTAGTTATTGTAAACAAACACTGTGAATTGGTCTTTTCAGCAACTAGTGTTGAGCATGTTATTTGGAAAATTAAATATATTACTCATTAGTTATTACGCATTTAAAAAAAGAGATTATATTACTTTAACAAAGAGAATATTCGTCCACTTCTTGACAGCAGCTAGGCAGCTAACACGCACTTCCAGCCCCTGCAACAAGCTAACGTTAGACGCCACCTTCCCATTTAAGTGATAGTAAGAAAGCAAAAAGCCATCCCTCAAATTATCAAAGCATAAGTGACTATAATGTTTTAGTGAATTTAATTCCTTATCATATTTCTTCCTGAAAACATTACAACTCACTGTACTTTGTGGTATACTGTTAGCAACACTGCAATTGTTGAGCCACAAAGCTAACTATTTAGCTAACTAGCTAACTCTTAAAAACACGCCAGTTGTTCAATTCAAATTTTTCCTTGTCTGCTCCCCCACCTCTGCCTGCTTCTTTTCTTTTTTGGTTTATGTTTCCTCCTTTATCTCAGTATCTGTTTTCATACGCATCTTTTCACTGCCATTTCATGCTTGTCGTCTTTCCTCCATCTTCACCTTCAGTTCCCGACCACAAAAGAGGTAATGTTACTTAACATTAGAGCTCAAATGTTGCTTAGCTAAACCTCCTTCTTGAATAACTTAAGCTGTATAAAATTTAGTATAATGTTATAGCATGTGTCATGTATTACTTAGCCTTTTATTTCCAGTCAACAGCTAACAGTAGTTTATTGTTAGCTTAATTGCTACACCTTTACTTCAAATGCCAACGTTAGCTTTTAGTTAGCATCTAGCCTGAAGCTAGTTAGCCTGGAACTTTTCTTAGCTTCTTTTTGCTTCCCCTCTGTAAGCCGTTAGCCTCCCTAACCACCTCCACTTCACTTAATTTTTCACCTTTGGTCAACAGCAACAATATCAACCGACTTCATTTATATTTACAGTTGTTTTCTCCTAACTTAGCTAACTAATTTAGCTTTAACAAAAAACACAGAGTATGTCATTGTGGTTGTTCTTGTAAATGTGTGTACCACAGCTGTTCAACAGTCAGGCCCAGAGCCTGCTCCTGATGACCTCGGTAGCCATGCCTGTGTTCAGCAAGAAGAAAGAGACAGTAAGTATTCATTTTTAATCACCATTAATACCATTACCCTTAAGGTGACCTGAAATTGTGCATTTATGAACCCGCTGTGTGTTTCCTGTAGCTGTCTCATGGGATTCTGCTGGGAGTGGTAGGAACAGATGTGCCCTTGAGAGAACTGATGAGATTAGCTCCGAGATACAAGGTAAACCATCCACAATATACAGAATAATATACTGTGTCGTGAACATGAATAAAATACTCTATAGTGATTCTTCTCTGAGGCAGTCTGTGACATTTGATTTATAATATTATTCACAGTAATGAGTGTAGTGTGTTGTGTCCTTATCTCTTCCTGTCTCCTCAGCTTGGTGTCCATGGTTACGCCTACCTCATCACCAACAACGGCTACATCCTGTCTCATCCTGACCTACGACCTCTGGTACAGACAAAAATCATTTTGTATGGTGAATTATTGCAGCTGAGAAACTGCTGAAACTTTACAACCCATTTGACAGATTTTATGCAGTCAACCAAGCATGATAAAATGGGATAGGTTCCTTATGATTTGTTTTGTTGTTGGTATGTTTGTGTGCATGTATGTGACAGTATAAAGAGGGGAAGACGCTCAAGCCAAAACCCAACTATAACAGTGTTGATCTGGCAGAGGTGGAATGGGAAGACACCGAAGAGAAAGTGAGTAACAGACACTCTTTGTCACTTTACAGTTTGTCAGTCTGAGTTGTGTTTTTCAGGATCCTTAAACAAGTATTATGTCATAACTATGTTTCAGCTGAGGACAGCTATGGTTAAAGGAGAAACTGGGATGTTGTCGTTAGACGTGAGAACGTCAGTGGATAAAGGAGTAAGTACTTCTGTTTTTGTGAGTCTGTCTGTGTTTGTCAAGACAGCGACAGGCACTGTTACAGTAGCTCAGAGATTAGATTCTTCCTGTGCGGATTTATTGTCTTTTCTTATTTTTTTTTATCTGCAGATAATTTGGCTCTGTATTTTTTATCTTTTAAATACATGCTGTCTGTCTCTCCGTGTTTACTATCATTTTTACAAACTCAGTCTGTCTCTGTATCTCTCACAGAGGAGAGTGATGTTCCTGAAGAATGATTACTTCTACACCGACATCAACGAGACACCATTCAGGTTTGTTCGATTGCTTTTAACCTAAACTTGGACTGCAGAGCTTTTATCTCCCCTTTCTGGCAGTAAGAGTTATTACACACACTGTTGTATGCTTCCAGAGAAGCTTACCACGTCTCCCGCGCCCCCAAAACCACTTGCTTCACATCTTCCAGCAAGGTTTCCCATAAAAACAAGGGCAGAGGAAACAAAAACTTGTTAGTATTTACCACCATAGCTTCCGCCATATTCCTAGCTGCTGCGCTGTTGCTACAGTCTCTCCTCACTTCCTGCCCCCTGTAGCTCTGGCTAGTTGACATAAAACTTGTCACGTCTGGTGCGTCTGCATAGGACAGTTGCCACAGACACCACACTCTGGTATACTGTGAACAGCAGAGGGCTTTCCCTGCCAGCGATAGGCTTAATTAGAGCAATGTGTGAACTTGCTTGGCCGGGGCTTGAATTTAACGGGCGGTCATTTTTATGTTAAAGTCACACACTCCCTTTCACAGGATTACCTGAAGTGTTAGGTTTTAAATGATATCCACCACATCCAACAAAGCAAAACCTGTCTACCTGTACAATGTAAAATTGTAAAATTATTAACGGGAAAAACGTAGCATCAAACGCAGTAATATCTCGTTTATCCTTCTTTTCTGTCTAGCCTACACATTTGCTCAGAGTAGGAACAAATGCGGGTGGCACAGTATTGCAGTGGTTAGCATTGTCACCTCACAGCAAGAGGGTTTCTGGTTCAAACCAGGGCTGTGGGGTTTGAACCCTCTGTTTGCATGTTCTCCCTGTGTCAGCATGGATTTTCTCCGCGTACTCCAGCTTCCTCCCACAGTCCAAAGACATGCAGGTTAATTGGTGACTCTAAATTGCCAGTAGGTGTGAATGTGAGCGTGAATGGTTATCTGTCTCTATGTATCAGCCCTGCAATAATCTGACGACCTGTCCATGGTGTACCCCGCCTCTCACCCAATGTCAGCTGGGATAGGCTCCAGGCCCCCCGCGACCACCAACAGGATAAGCGGTTATGGAAATGAAGGAAGAAATGCTTATTGCTTATTGAATCATCCTGCCAATAACAAATAACTTCTCTGTTTGACAGTCTGGGCATAGTGCTGACTAGAGGATATGGACAGTATATCTTTATTGGAAACGTCTCCGTTGAAGAGGGTAAGTCTTTTCTGTCTAAGCTTCTCTGTATTTGTCTCTGTCTTTCTTATTCTCTGTCTCACGTCTTTTTTGCTTCAGGTCTCCATGACTTACTGGCTCCAGACCTGAGCATAGCTACTGAATGGTGAGTATTGTATAACTAGCAAAACATAAATATTACAGTTGAAGCTCTTCGTGAAAATATGACTACAGTACATTTTTATGATGTATGTGCGTGTGTTTGTAGGACCTATTGTGAGACAGACATTGACCCGGCCCACCGTAAACTGACCCAAATGCAGGCTGTGGTGCTATACCTCACTGGCAAAGAACCAGATCTGGAGTGTAAGTGGACGCTTGAACTTCAGCACATGCACATCAGAGATGGCAGGAGAAAATAACACACAGTACGAAGTATCCTTGAACACACCAATCCATCTTTGGCAACTTTTTTTCCGATCTTGTAAGAGATTGTCTTATTTTGAATCACAGTAAAATTAAAAATAGTGGTCAAACTCTGCCAAATTATTGACCACACTATTTGTGAGGTGTGTTCCTGAAAGATGTAGTAATCTAAATTGAGCATTTAAAAAGTTAAAATGTTTATTTGTCTGGACATAATTTGCAGGTAAATTGTGATGTGATTGTGACCTTCAAAATGTCTGGCATTATTCAGTGCTTTAAATTTTCTTTCTGACGTCCTCTTTCCTTTTCTAATGCTAATATTCATCATTAGTACTAGATTTATGTTTTTTCTCTCTCAACAGGTGATGTGCAGTTGTTGCAACAAACTCTATTTGACGCTGTGGTCACGGCTCCTATGGAAGCCTACTGGACGGCACTCATGCTCAACACATCTGGGTAAATAATAACACACATGCACACGCTGCTGTCAAGACAAAGATCACTTTCAATGTCCACATTAACCTTGGTTGTTCCACTGTCCGCCATTTATGCTACTGAGGATGCAAAGAACGTACACTGGTACTTCTTTGTAAATGGGGATAGTTTTCATTAGCTACCAGGGAAAAAAGAGCACCATCCTCTTCCCATTTTGGTTGTGCAATGTTTGACGCACTTCATTTGTGCTGTAAATTGAACCCTCATTTTCCCGGGAGATTGTATCTGGAATTGCACAGTGAAAACGAGGCTTATAGGGAACCAATCTAAATGCAGATGGGGTCATTGTTCTATAGCCATTACATTGTGCAATCCACATTTACTTCATCATGATAAATTAAAGCAAAACATGTGTCAATTTCCACTTTAATGAAGACATGGACTATTCGACATGATAAATCTATTTATTTTTTAAAAAACATTTACCCTTCTTTCTGCTCGACTTCCCTCTTTGTCAGTCTCATTTTTTTCTCTGTCTCTCTTTCAGTATGGACGAGGGGATGGAAACGGCATTCTTGGGCACTCGTTCAGGCCTGATGAGATTCCAGAGATACGCTGGTGTTGAGAAGAGAATTGCCAAGTAAGTAATAAAAACAATCTTTGTGTATATTATATATCATCACATCTTACATCAAATAAGCTGGGTGATAGATTTAAATTCTGGATAAAAGTGTTGTAACATCTTAATGTGGCATCATACAGACAAATTAAACTATGTTCATCCAAACATTAAGGGAGACTTTTTAAATAGGAAAGCAAGATTTTTATAGATACCTCTAACCCAGAGAAGCCCGTACACCCTTATCCAACTATTTATAAATGCGTATTAATCAGATATTAAAGGAAGGGTCATCTCTCGACTCTCTCTAAATCTCTTCATGGTCTGAAAGCTTATTTGACAAAATATGTAAAGGACAGATGGGAGAAGGAAGGAGACCTGTCAATAACAGATGAAGAATGGCAAGATATATGCGTATTTCAATGGAAAAGCACAAAATCTCATGCATGGAAGGAATTTTACTGGAAAAAATGAAGTTTGATTTTTCACTACTTGTTTTATGACGGCACATTATGACAATGGTAGTGCTTAATGCTGGAGGAACTGTGGCTGTCAAACTGTAAACCTCGATCATGTTTTCTGGGATTGCCAAGATATACAGTATTACTGGAAAGAAATACACAAGCAATTCAATCCATCTCTAACATAGATATACCGTTAGATTTGAAAGTCATATATTTAGGCTATATCCCCCCTGAGGCAAAAGGTATTGGCAAATACTGGGTATATTGCTGGCAGCAGGGAATAAGGCTCTGACCAGAAGATGGATGATGTATGCCGGTCATATTATAAATAACTGAATCGATGTGACAATGAATATTTACATGATGGAAAAGGTGACTTTCTCTTTACACCTAAAGATGGACATTAACGTACAACACTGGGATAAATCGGTGCAATATGTCAAACCTCTAAGACCTGACTTTGTAAAGATAATTACTTGAAGGAACATCCTTAACTTTTTAATAATAACAAAAATAGTAATAAACGTTATTTATATAGCACCTTGCATACAAGAAATGCCGCACTGAGTGCTTCACATAAAAATAGACATCATGGACATAAAACAGACAAGGCAATTAAATGTAAGAGGGCAGTGAGAACAGTTTAAAACATGGATTAACTGATTCATAAAATCAGAGAGTTGTTAAACTGTAACTTATGAAATCACCCTAGATTTTAAAAGGGTTGCAGCATTAAAAAAA